TTGTAGAATTCAATTTAGAATTGAATTCAATAAATGAGTTACATTTTTTTATTTTAAAATGGTGACTAAGTTGTAGAATTTAATTTAGAATTGAATTCCATAAATGAGTTACATGTTTTTTTAAATATTTACCATAAGGCATATGATTTGTATTTTTCAATGGATANTTATTTTAAAATGTTGACTAATTTGTAGAATTCAATTTAGAATTGAATTCAATAAATGAGTTACATTTTTTTATTTTAAAATGGTGACTAAGTTGTAGAATTTAATTTAGAATTGAATTCCATAAATGAGTTACATGTTTTTTTAAATATTTACCATAAGGCATATGATTTGTATTTTTCAATGGATATTATGTGTATATATATGTGTGAGTCCTAATTAAGAATTAGGGAGATATAGATCTTATACATATTGTAAAGTCATGTAAAAACCAAGAGAGTTATTCTTGATAAGAAAATTGTTTTGAGAAAGTAATAGTGCAATACAAAGCCAAGATAGAAAATACTAGTACAAGAAAATTATTTCTTGTTCTTCTACCTTTGAGTTGAGATTTTTCAGACACAATGTTTTCATTCAATTTGTTCGCGGGATTTCATTGAGCAAAGAGTTGATAGCAAGGATCAGTCTCGGTGTAGATACGCATAGAGTCTTCGCACTATCGAAATAATTTAAAACGGGACTCTATTCACCAGGTACGTCTTAGATCCGATATTTGACATATAAATAAATTTTAAACACGAAAAGTTCTCCCTAGGATTGTTATTGTCTTCCGATGCGTGTTATGAACACCTCTACACAATCCTACACTCCACGAGTTCACTACTGCTGCTGCCCAATATATATCGAGCAATAGTAGGTGTCTCTCGACCATAAAGAGCCTAGAAAGGGGTCATTCCTGCTAAAGTTTGTAGAGCTGTGTTGTACCAATATTCTGCCCATGGTAACATAGCCACCCAATCAGAGTGCCACAAAACAACGAAGATATTGCTCTACACATTTGTTGAGCGCTTCAGATTGACCATCGATTTGAGGATGGTACGCGGTGTTCATCGCTAACGTGGTGCCCTGCATCCTGTTTAGTTCCTGCAAAAGGGAATGGATAAATCTTGGGTCTCGATCAGTTACTATTGATCTCGGAGGCCCATGTAACATGATGACTCCGACAACGAACGCCTCAGCCATAGTCCGAGTAGATTATGTTGAGGGTAATGCAATAAAGTGGCCTAATTTAGTCAATAGATCCACTACTGTCATAATAGTTACTTTGCCCCTTGAAGCTGGAAGGCAGGTGATGAAATCCATTGCTATGCCTTCAAATACCAAATCGGGCGTAGGCAAAGGGTGCAATAATCACGCTGGATGATGGTGGATATCCTTCATCTGTTGACATAGTGAACAAGTTGAGACAAACAAATGCACATCCTTCCTCATATTTTTCCAATAAACATTTGAGGCCACACGGTGCAATGTACGGGCTATACCAGCATGTCCCCCCAATGGAAGTAGCATGGAATTCCGATAAAAGTTGTTGTCTAAGAGGGAAATCAGTAGGAATTACCAAGCGTCCTTTATAAAATAAAAGACCTTCTCTAAAGGTGAAGTCAATGACAGAGTCTAGTTGTTGCATAATAGATGTCTGAATGTCGAGCAACTCCAGATGGTTCTTGTTGAGTTCAATTCTTCAACAAGGGCAGGTATTTGCATAGTAATGGCCAAATAACTAGCATCAGGGGCTCGTGAGAGAGCGTCAACTGCTAAATTCTGTTTCCCGGGGGTGATATAGAATGCGAAAATCATACCCGACTAACTTACAAAGCCACTTCTGTTGTTCCGGGGTTTATATGATTTGCGTGGTAAGGTTACGGAGATCTTGTTGGTCTGTAAGTATTGTGAATCTTCTGCCAAGCAGGTATTGATGCCATTTACTAACATCTTGTGTAATGACAAACATTTCAGGGTGATAAGTGGACGCTCCTTACATTCTGGGCTTTATTTTTGACTGAAGAATGCCACAGGATGCCCCTTTTGAGACAGTATCGCACCAATCCCAACTCCTGATGCATCTGTTTCCTCTTGAAACTCATGACTAAAATCAGGCAAAGCGAGGACAGTGGTAGAGCTCAAGCATGGTTTCAAGGTTTCAAAGGCCTTTTGTACGCGCTCAGTCCAGAGAAAAGCATCATGACATAGTATGCTAACTAAAAGAGCAGCAATAGAAGCGTAATGATGGATAAAACGCATGTAATACTCAGTGAGCCCCAAAAACTCTGTACCTCCTTGATATTTCGTAGGGCTGGCCATTGCTGTATAATGGCAATTTTGCTAGGATCCACAACCAATCCTTGAACAGATAGTACATGTCCAAGGTAATCAACAATTGTCTGCCCAAACAAACACTTGCTCTGCTTCGCCACTAAACTGTGTTGGCGTAACAGTTTCAACACTAAACTAAGATGTTCCAGATGACTAGCCCAAGTTGGACTGTAGACGAGAATATCGTCAAAGAAGACCAACACAAAACGGCGCAAGTAGGGACGAACAACAGAATTCATGGCAGCTTGAAAAGTGAATGGCGCATTAGATAAACCGAATGGCATAACCAAAAATTCAAAGTGACCGTCGTGGGTTCTAAATGCCGTCTTTTCAATGTCCTCGACTCGTACCCAAATTTGATGATACCCTGATAACAAATCCAGTTTGGAGAAGAACTGAGCTCCATATAATTCATCAAATAGTTCGTCGATTGTAAGAATAGGGAAATGGTAGCGCACAGTGATAGCATTGACAACACGATAATCCACACAAAAATGCCAGGTACCATCCTCTTTCGAACTAGCATTACTGGCGACGAAAAAGGACTCGTACTATGTCGAATGACCCTTTCTTTAAGCATTCATGAAACCAATTGTTCCATAACTTATTTCTGAAAGTATAGATAGAGATACGGTTTTACATTCACGGGACCGGAACCAGGTTGCAAATGGATCACATGATCTTGAGGACTCACTGGGAAGGCCTTGGGGTTTCTGAAAAATATCAACAAAAGAAGTGAGTAAGTCCTGAAGATCGGTAGGTGGAAACTCCGTAAGCACAGACTCAGAAACCACTTGTTCTTCTTGAACTAGTTCCAACCGAAAATATGAAGAGATAGTATTTGTTGAAGCTAAATGGTGCAAACTGTGCAATTGCACCGGTTGGAGCATAGTTGGTGGTTTATCTTGACATCTCATAGTGCTGCCATTGTGAGAGAACTCAAGGACGTGCATGGCATAATCAGTGAGAACCGGGCCCAATGTGGCCAACCATGACACCCGCAGAACAAAATCAGCATCATGTAGGGCCAACACATAGAAATCCAAAACGAGCTCACAGCCTTGGATAGTGAGGGGGATTTGCCGAACAATCGCATCATAGCGTAAGCGCTGTCCACTACCCACCATGACATAAAAACTCGGAATCGGTTCAATGGTCAATTGAAGGAAAGTCGCGATCCTAGTTTGAATGAAATTGTCTGTACTACCGCCATCGACGAGGACCTGAATTGGAGAACCTTTCACATGGCCGACAAACCAAAGAGTATTCAGAGCATGGAAGGAAATAGAAGAGTGCTCTTGCACCTCAAGGCATTGAAGTTCTTCTGCTAGAGCTTCGTCAGAAAGTTGCAACTCCGGTAACTGAATGGTAGTGTCATGCTCTTCAGTTAACAAAAGGAGTTGGGGAAGATTTTTACACTTATGAGAAGCAGAGTACTTCTCATCACAATAATAACAGAGTCCTTTCTCCCGACGACCTTGAATTTCGGTAGGAGTGAGACGTTTGAGGGGTAGACGTTTGAGGGGTAGACGGCCAGGCAACGTTTGTGATTCCAAGGCTGGAAGAGCCATGGGTGTTGGACGAGGGTTAGGGATTGTAGAGTAAGTCGGAGCAAATGGGGTGGGAAACAAGGGCAATGTACGGGCCAAGTCTAGTTGGATTGGGCTCCGAGTAAAGGCTGTTTGAACCGGGCCTTTTTCAAAATTAATACGCCTCTACTGTAATTGGGCCACCCGAATAGCTTTATTTAAAGTTTTAGGATCCTTGGCCAATCACTTAGTTTTTTATTGCGAAACAACCAGCGATACCAGGCTCGAGCCTTACCGTCCAAGTAAAAGGAAGCAATAGACACACGTTCCTCTTCCACAATACCATAGAAATCAAAATAACGTTCTGCCTGGAAAAGCCAATCATTCGGATCCTCACCAAAGAATCGACCAAACTCTACACATGCAGGCTTATGACATTGAGCCGTGGAGGACGACGAACCAGTGAACGGCACGGTATCGTCGACAGCATGGGAACGAGAATCATCGAGAGGGGGAAAGCGAGTGTTCAACGCTGCGAGTTGAGCAGCCAGATCCTTAAGCATGGACTAATGAGAATCCATGATGGAATGAATTTCAACCAATTCCAGCGTAGAACCAATCGAAGCTTTTAGTTTGTTATCGGACATAAACGGAATGAAAGCACCAATGTAGCAAGGGCTACTAAACTAGCAAGTAACAACAACAACTTTGATTATATTGAAAATACCAACTGGAAATTACATCTAAAAATGACAATAAGAAAAAGTTGGAGATGAGAAGCAGAAGAAGGGGATGAGATCAGAGACAGAGGAATGGGATGAGAAGGGGATATTTTCATAACAACTTTTGCCTAAATCACTACAATGCCTACGTCTGCTATATATAACTAACTCCTGGCCCACACACTTTCATTTAGCACTTACTACATAATCCATTAGCTTTGCAGGTGGTTGTTTCTTGAGTTTGCCTCTATCCAGATTGCCCTTCATCACTTCATTACCCAATTTATTCTCAATTGCCACATCAGCTTCGTCTAAGATTGTGTTGACAACAGGGTACATACCTTTCTCTTTCAATGTTTTAAGTGCCAATGTTTTCTCTTTTTAAGTGGCACGTTATTAGCAGCTTATCTCTAGTCAATTACAGCCTCCAACTGCCAGTAACAGATACCAAGCAAGAATAGCATTGCAACAACAAAAATGTAAATTCAGTAGAATTGTACTTGAAGAAAACTTACCCTATTATCAGTTGAATAGACGCATATCAACTGATCACCTTGTTCAATATCTTAATTTCAACCTATTATCCTCATATATTCTGCCAAAAATATAATTACATGTTCACTCACTTATTCAGTAAACCCATCTCTAGAACATCCTAAGGGAAAACAGAATTTCTCAGTTGCATTAGTTCGTTAAACAACTTTCATCAAAACATCAAAGAGGAAAACATAATTCATATTCAAGATTTAATTTTTTTAAGAAAGCAAAAATCTTTCTTTCAAATTTGAAATCAAAATAAAACAAAAAGAATGTATTTCCTTACCTTGAAGATTGCTTGAAATAGAGAGAAAGAAGAAGTTGTTGTTGGAAAAATAGAGTGGACAACCTATTCAAATTGGAAAAGCAAAATCACATACCCAAAGCAAAAGAACATGTTGCATGTGATATATAAACCTCAAATCATATACCACCAGGGGCGGCTCTAAGGCTAGGCAACTAAGGCCGTCGCCTTAGGCCCAAAATTTGTAGGCCCCAAATTATTATTATTATTATTATTATTATTATTATTATTATTATTATTATTATTATTATTATTATTATTATATAATTTATATAAATAATTATTATAAATAAAAGTGTCACAGTATTTGTTTTGGTTACTATTTGATTGAGGTTATTTTATACCAATAAGTTATAAATTATGATATTTTCTTCACTCATTATTAGTATATTTGCTTCACTCTTCAATTTTAAATTTATCCTTTTTATATAGAAATTAAGTTATACATTGACAATATAATGAATTTCTTTTACAATCTTCTTTGAAACCGTATGAACACAAAAGCATTCATGCACCAATTTGTTTTTAGTGTAATTCAACATATTATATTAGGTTATTTATAATTTATTTTAAATATCTCGCCAATGAGTGTTACTTAATTATGAACAGTGTAAATATTTTTGACACTATTAATGCTCAAAACTTAAACTATTATGCTATGTACATTCATTTCTTTTTCTTGTTTGTGATGATAGCCAAATTAAAATTTTTGCTTTGAGTTCTGGACCTCAATATTTGATAATCAACCACTTTATTCTTTATGCTCTTCGTCCTAATTTTTTTAATTCGCTATTTTGTGTCTTAAATGATTAATTTGTTTTTTAGAAAGCAAATTTTTTTGTTAGTGTTTTATAAAATAAATTTGAGGGCCTCTCAATATGGTTTCGTCTTAAGCCACGAGCTCCGTTGAGCCGCCCATGTATACCACCCAAGGTTTTCCAAGCCAAGATGGGGTTTTGATGGTCGCTATGCCCAAGTAATTTCATGTCCTAGAATATAATCATTGCCTCAACCTTTTAAACCAATTTCAAACATGCATGTAGTGAATCAAATAAAAAATGACCTAAGCTCAAGATTTTTCTGCTTTTTTGTAGCCACTAAAAAGTCACTATTGAAACTCAAAGAGTAAGCAAAAATATAAATTATAAAACGAAATTAGAAGAAAACGGTATAAAAAAGGATGAACAAAACTCACCGGTGAGAGAAGTAGTGCCGGCAGAGAAACGCGGAGGAAGAAGGAGAGACAGAGAGAGCGCGAGTGAGAAACAAACTAAAATTCGCTTATAAAATTCACAAAGAAGAGCCAAGTTCCGGTGGATTTGTCCAAAATTAACACGTGGAATCACAGTTTAATTAGAAACTTGCCTCACTTTTGGTGTTATTTACGCAAATGCCATTCGCCATACCTCACTTATTATATACTAGTTATTATAAAGAAAAGGCAAAAAAATGATCTATGTTACGATTATTGAAATTTGCAAGGCAGCAGCAAGTTGCATCGAGCTACACTATTGTTGAAATTTGCGAGATTTCGAGTGCAAGTCAAATGGGCTTAAATGAATTAATGTCAAAAGTCGTAGAAACGATATGGGTAGCCACTTTTTAAAGTGGTATTTACTTTTTATTCAGCATTTTTAATGTTGAGCAAAAATAGTCACTACTCTATTAAAATTAATATGAAAAGATGATGTTATCCTTTCTTCTATCTTTTTTCCTTCCCAAACCCTTTATCAAAATTTCAAAACCCTTTCTCCCGATCAAAATTTTTCAAACTCCTCTCGTTACTTCTCTTCCCCATGCAGTAAGTTCTTCCCCGACTTCATCCTAAACCCAAAGGCAGACCACTTCCTCGACGTTGCAGACCACTTCCTCGACGTTGCAGACCACTTCTCCAGCGACTTCGAATTTTTATTGTGAGATTTGCTTGCTTATTTCAATAATTCAGCCAGCCTTTTCTTCTCATCATCGAAATCAGGATTTGCAGTTCCAAGGTTCTCGACATTTTTCGCGAATCGAATTGTATGATTTCTATTTTGCTTTTACACTTTTTGTATTTTATATTGTGTCTTAATGTATTCTGGTTCTGTTATTTATTAAGCTTATGTAGATGGTAATGGGATCACTTTTTTGAAGTACTTGTGCAAATATTTTTTTTGGTGTTATTGCTATGGGAGCTGGTTTGAACGATAAAAGGATAAAAAGGATTATGGAAAGTTAATTCAACTGGTACTATGCTTCTATTGGAATGTCAACACTCGTCGCGACGACCTTAATTGTGTATACTTAAGCTGTTTTTGGTTGGTATTTGGTTTTGGAATTCCTGTTATCCTTATGCTTTTCTCTGTTCTGGAAATCAGCTTTCGTTTATAGTAGAAATAGTTGTAAATCTTCATTAGATAGTAATTCAAAATATTAGTCACAAGCTGGTGTTGGTTCAGTTTTAGTTCCAAACTAGATATTTAGGAAGCATATTATTTGAATCCTAGTACTAATGAAGTGGAATCTTATCCAAATGATAGTAAGATAACAATTTCATATTGTGACACTGTTAGGTATTCCTTTGCCGGTGAGTCATGGTTCGCTTGTAGGATGGAGTAATGCATATGGCATCTTCACAGGCCCCATCTTATTCTTCAGTTTTTTGTCATTGTTCATCTTCATAACCTTTTCCTCAATTTCACAGCTTTTTGCTGAATCTTTCTGCAGCTTGTAAATGTGCAGTTGATTAAATAATCTATGTGTCAAGGAAGTTGCTGAATATAAATTTGTATGCTAACTGTGTTTAGGAAAGATGCATCTAATTAGGTCCTGAATTTTAGTTTTTTAGTTTAAATATTCAGGACATTTCAGAAAAATAATCCTAATGTTTACCTTCTATTTCCTTCTTTGTAGTGTGCTAATAGAAGGAGATCGTTTTTTCGAGTTTGATGATTGGCGTAATTTGATGAGCTATTGGAAATGAGATTTTCAGTATAAGGAAACAATAAAAAATTTCTTGTCGAACACGCAATGAAAGAAGTTGAGAGATGGTGTTTTCGGAAACTTTTTCCGATTGGAAGGTGTGAAATTCTGTGGCAAACTTATTCATTGTGTGTTGCTTTCTGAAATTGTAAGCAATGATACGAATTCAATGACATTCAAGGTTTTTGATCATGAAGTGAAGTTTACATGTGAAGCCTTCTACATAATTACTGGATTGAAATGTTCTTCTTCTATGGACTTCAACTTTTTGAGTGAAAGAGCTAATAGGCTTTCTAAAGTTTATTTCCCTAGAAAGGATAGAATTGAGTTAGGCGATTTGTGGCATTTTATTACTAGTCGCCCATCTGGTACAGCTGCATCATTTGTAGGCAGCGACGACGATGCGGTGAAGTTGGCAACAATTTATTTTGTTGAATCTGTGTTAATGGGTAAGCGCAAGACTCGGAATGTGTCTAAGCGGGTAATGAAAATCATTGATGACAATGAACTCTGCTCTTCTTTCAATTGGGGCTCTCTTTGTTATCAAAAGTTACTCAAATTATGGAAGAGTTGCTTGAAGCCCAAACAAAATACTTCAAACAATGAGAATGAGAAAGAGACAGAGAAAGACAAAGATAAAGAGAAGGACAATTATTCTATACTTGGCTTCCCTTTTGCCTTCTGTGTATGGATTATGGAAGTATTCCCAGTTTTTCAGAAAAACCCGTTTGTGAACTTCAGAGAATGCGGGTTCCCCCGTATACTATGTTATTCAGATATGAAATCTCTGTTATGACAACCTATGTAAAAAGTACTTCCATAATGAAAAAGTAAGTTTATAGGATTACTGGCTATCTTTTTATCTATGTGTTTTGGTTGTAAATACTTACTTTTTCCCTTTATATAATAGGTGTTTAAGTTGCTCGAGATGGTACTTTCTTCTTAAGAAGATGCGGAGCTCGCTAGTGCGCATGTGCAATTATCTCAAGATCATAGTTCAATGCCTTCAACACAATTTGATAAGGCTTACTTAAAGAAATTGTTAATGTACGTTTTCTGTCTTTGAATACCATTAGTTTTTTTTGCTTATTTTTGCTTAAGAGACTTTTTTGTTTTTATGGTCTTTGATTCAGAGATTATCGGAGAAGTTGAAAAAGGATTTGTAGGCAGAAAGTGTTAGAATACATCAAAAAATAACTTTATAAAAAAAGGATTCAAAAGGACATCAAGGTAGCATGTATTTAATTTTTGAGCTTCTAAATTATAAATTTAGGACTAGATGTCCTTTATTTTTATGCTTGTAACTCTAAGTTCAGGACTAAGTGTCCTTAATTTTTGAACTTGTAACTCTAAGGTTAGGACTACCTGTCCAATATTTGAGCTTGTAACTCTAAGTTTAGGACTACATGTCCTTAATTTTTGAACTTGGTAACTCTAAGTTCAAGACTACATGTCCTTATTTTCTGAACTTGTAACTCTAAGTTCAAGACTACATGTCCTTATTTTCTGAACTTGTAACTCTAAGTTCAGGACTACATGTCCTTATTTTCTGAACTTGTAACTCTAAGTTCATGACTACATGTCCTTATTTTCTGAACTTGTAACTCTAAGTTCATGACTACATGTCCTTATTTGCTGAACATGTAACTCTAAGTTAAGGACTAAGTGTCCTTAACTTATAAGAAGCTAACATTCTGATTCTTATTTTAAATACTATCTCATAGGCTTTAAAGAAAAACCTAGAGTCAAAGGTTGATACTTTATTGAAGCTTCTTGAGAAACCTCATGAAAGGAACAAAGAGCGAGAACCTAGTGTTCCAATTAGCAAAGATGCAGTTGATGATAAATGTGACGATACAGATGTGCATCTAGAAGATCGTTATGAAAGCTTTTATAGAGATATGCATTTAGAAGATGAAACTGATATGGGCATCAGAATTGGTAAAGGTTAGATAGAGTTTTTGATTTTGTTGTCATTGTAAATTTATATTCAATAGTTGTAACGACCCGACTTGTCGTTTTAAGAAATTACGTCTCGTTCAGTGACTTAAAGTCTTAAAAAGCTTCACACATGTATTATGACCCGCGTGTGTGGTCGAGTTTGGTTTTCGAAAGATTCGGAATTTAATTTAAAGAAAAATTCTCATTCTGAAGCTTAAATGGAAAGAGTTGACTTTTGAGCAAACGGTCCGGAATGGAATTTCGATGATGGCTATAGCTTCGTATGATGATTTCTGACTTAGGCGTATGTTTGGATTTGGAAGTCCGTAGGACAATTTAACACATTTTGGCGAAAGTTGGAAAATAGAAGATTTTGGAAATATTCTACCGACGGATGAATTTTTGATAACGAGGTCGGATTTTGATTCCGGAAATGGGAATAGCTCCATTAAGTCAATTATGACTTGTGTGCAAAATTTGAAGTCTTTCAGGATTGATTTGATACATTTCGGCGCAAAATATAGAAGTTGGAAGATTTAAAAACTTATAATTCGATTCGATGCGCGATTCGTAATTTCGGCGTTGTTTGACATGGTTTGAAGCCTCGACTAAGTTCGTATTGTATTTTGACACGTGTTGGTATATTTGGTTGAGGTTCCGAGGGCTTCGGGTTGATTTCGGAAGGTTAAGGGATCAATTCGGGCATGAAGATAAGCTGCTGGAATTTTCTGGGCAGCAACATGAACAGTGATTCGTAGAAGCATGAACAATGATTCGCAGAAGCGTGAACAGTGATTCGCAGATGCATGAACAGTACCGCGGGTGCATGAACAGTACCGCAGTTGTGTGAACAGTAACCGTAGGTGCGAATCTGGGCAGAATGTTAAGGACCAAAAATTAGTCATTTTGCCATTTTCGTTTTTGGATTTTTGGAGCTCGGATTTGGGAGATTCTGGAGGAATTTTTTACAAGCTTGGTTGGGGTAAGTGTTCTATATCGTAAAGTTTTCTATATCCTAAAGTTTTTATATTTCATGAATCCATGATTATATTCATCATTTAATTCAGATTCAAATGGAAGAAATCAAGATTTTTGTAAAATCTTCCAAAAACGAAAATTTAAGATTTGGAGGTTGAGTTGTTATCGGAATTTGATAAAATTGGTATGGTTGAACTCGTATCAGAATGGGAGGTTCGGATTTCATGAAAATTATGTCGGGTTCCGAAGGGCAGGCCCCACATTGACTTTTGTTGACTTTTTGAAAAATAAATTTTTAAGTCGACACATTATTATCCGGAATTGTTTTTGATGAATTTTAATGAAGTTATACAATTAATTTGGTTAGATTTGAGCGGTCCGGAGGTCAATTCAAGCAAGAAGACGATTTTGGAATATCAACATAACTTCAAAAGGGCAAGTGTCTTGCTTAACCTCGAGTGGAGGAATTTTTCCTTAGGTATTGAGTCTTATGTGTAATTTGTGTAATTAAAAATCATGTATGCGAGGTGATGAGTACGTACTTAGTTTATATGTGCAAATTTTATTGAGTTAAAGTCTTGAACATATTGTGTAGTAAATTGGA